ATATCTACTCTCTCCCTTCCCATTGTTTTCTCAGTCCTCAAGTTTGTCCTCTCTTCCAAAACTGTGTATTCAAAGTATCTGATGACTCTTGAGTTGCCACATTTAATATATACTCCAGTTTTCATCTTGTTGGATTTCTAGAAGGCATTTTATAGGGTTTACCATTCTCTGTTATTGAAACTCTTTCCCTTGTAGAAATCCATCCTCTCTTGATTACCTTTCCATCTGTCTTTCTTGGACACACAAATAAATTGCATCATTGGTGTCATTTCTTCATCCCTGCTGAATCTGGCTTGTCCATGTAACATGCTTTGGCATTAAATCAAAGTGAAGTGACACAATTCTAAGTCTTAGTGAGAATTTGTTTTCTGCTTGTTTTCTTTTGCTTCATCCATTGCCAGATGTGAATGCCCCTTTGGCTCACTACATCCAAGAGACTGGGAAGGAGCTAAGTGGAGCAGAGCTGCTAAGGTGCCTCAGTCAAGCCCAGACTAGAGGTGAGCCCCCACTCACTCATGACCCACAAGTGGGCCGGCTGGGATTAGTCAGGTCACAGAATTCTAAGAAGAAATCTAATTGTTTTAAGCTACTGAATTTTGGGGTGGTTTCTATGCAGCAAAAGCTGATTGCTATAGACTGTTCTGTAAATTTTCTTTTCTCTGTCCAGTACTCAAGCACTGGCTTTCTCCTGCCCCATACCATGCAGCTCCACATCGGCCTCCACCCCAGAGCTTTAGGCCCACAGAAATAGTATTTCTCCCTGACTTCCTTCAGGCTCCTTGAATTCAATATGTCAAAACAGCAACATGTGAAAACATCCTCCCCAAATCCTATAGGCCGCTGGTTCATTCTCCTGTGGGCTCTGCCCTAACCAAGACACCACCACACTCCCAGCCACCCAGGCCAGGAACAGGGCCTCACAGGTGTAGTCTCTTACACCCTGTGGATGCCAACTCTCACCTACTTCACCTCTGAAACACCTCTCACTTGGGACACTTGCAGCTTCCAACGCTGCAGCTGCCTTGCTCAAGCCCTTGTCACCCAATGAGGTGACTATTGCAATAGCCTACCAGTCCACAGGCTCCCTGAGCTAGCTGAGCTTCACACCACCCAAGAGAGTGCTCTAGGAGCAGTCACGACTGTCACTGATCACAACCATTTCCTGAATCACCACAACCAAATGTTGGGCCCCCTGCTCCCCACCCCCCACAGGTACAGCATAAGGCTGCCTCAGAACACAGTGGTTATGCTCACAGACTTCAAAGTTTCCTCCTGACCAGCTCCACAACATTGGGGAGGCTACGCAATCTCTCTGTGCCTCAGTTTCCTCATCTCTGAAACAGAGATAATAACTGTACCTTCCTTTTGGCATGTTCTGGGGGTTTAATAATTTCCTATATGTGTAGGGCATGTTGAACAATGCCTGATGTGTGCTAAGACCAAAAATGTTATATGCTGTCACAAAGACTTACATTTCACATGAGATTTTATTGTTTGTCATTTATCATCCTTTCACAGTTGTTGATAAAGCAAAACCTCTTTAAACACTGTAAGATAAAATTTATTCTCATCTTTCTGCCTACTCTTTTAGGATAATATTTGCAGTTTAGTAATAGAAAGCAAAGCACTGGCATGAGCTAATGGGCCATAGTAGGTGATTACTCTTGTATGTTTAGTTTTTTCTTAATAAGAATGAGTTATTTTAAATACACAACTAAAACTTAATATGCCCTTTTTTTGAGTCAGATTGAAGTATAATTTGCTTACAAATCAAATTCACCCTTTTCAAGAGTGTATCATTTGACTATTTGTACCAGTTATGGTACAACTATGGTACAACTATCACCAAGTTATGGTATCATAACTATCACCAGTTATGGTATCACTATCACCAAGATAGACAACATTTTCATCACCCAAAAATGGTTTCCTCAGGCCCATTATGATCACTTTTTGACACACATCAATTCCTACCCACTCCTTCACTCTTCAGGTTTTAGCAAAACATAACATTTTTGTGTATGTATCACAAAAGGCCTTTGGACTTCCAGGCCTTTGCATGTCCCATTCTGTTTTCAAATGCCTCCTTCACCCACTGTTTGGCCTAGCTAACTGCTATTTCTCCTTGCAGCTTCCACTGTCACCTAAGTCTAGGTTGACACCCCTGTCCACCAGCTCTTGTCACATCACCTGAGGCCTCCCTCTCTGACCATATGGGCAACTTTGTGTTGCTATGAGTGGTTTACATGACATCCTCTCGCTGGACTGCCCCCAGGGACCTGTTTTCCCGGGTTCTCAGCTAGTGCCAGGCACAGAACAGACAGGACCTGGATGCTGGAGGGTGTGATGGGCTCTCTCTTATGCCATGGCAGGGAGATACAGGTCTGTGGTAGAAAACTGCCTGCGTCTGGAGGAGGGCCCTCACTCATCCCTGTCCATCTAATCCTGAGATGTTTCTGGGCTTTTCCAGACACACCTTGGGAGAATACAAGGCTGAAACACTGATGAGACTGAGCTTGGGGTTGTCAGTGAGAGGACAAGGGCCAGGGAGGAAGGAAGGGCAAAGGCTCAGGCCAGGCCTCTCTTCCATACGGAAACATGTGTTGAGGCCAAACCAAGCATCAAATTATGGGAAGGAGCAGAGAGTCTCTCTCTCTCACACACACTCTTTTTTGTAAACATGCCTCACTCTTAGGGACTTTGCAATCTTATAATTAAACAATATTTAAGGAACATATATTTATTGAACTTCTACTCTGCATGGGCACACTGCCAGGCGCTGGGTCATATTGTATAGAGGAGACAAGTGTGACCCCAGAGCCCCTCTGTAGTCACCCATGTGGCAAGGGCTTCTTGTCGTGAGCAGCGGCTTCTCTCTGTGGGAAGGCTGACAGGGTGTGGGGGTGAGGTATAGACCCATGCCCCCAGAAGAATGCTTCAATTACCAAGAATGTGTAGATAAATAACCCTCTTCCTCGCCCCTTGGGTGGATCATCTCTGGGGTGTTTCCTGGCATGCTGAGCGATACGGAGCCCTAGTGCTCACAGCACCACTTGTTTGCTACTGATATTTTGTCAGCCTCTTTTCATTCCACTTCTTTATTCAAGTTTTCTGTGATCATTCCCCAAATCAATTACTTGAACCCCAACCCTGCTATCAGGATCTATTTCTAGGAAAATCACAGCAAAGACAAGCAATGAATAAGATGAAGGAGGTCTCTGCCCAGCCCTTACTTGGTCTGTGAATCACCGGAGGTTGCTTACCCAGCCAGGCAGTGAATACCAGGCACGCAACACTAGTGACTGGCTGAATGAATGAATGGCCTCCTGAAAACCCAGAGTGGCCAGTGACTGTCTTAGAGAAGTTCATCCATGTTCAGAGATGTTAACTAGTTTGCCCATGGTCAACTGGTAGCACATGCAACCGGAACCTGGAACTCTAGACTTTTTTTTCTAGCTGGGGCTCAACACGACAAAGATTTGAGTTTTGAAAGCTAATCCAGGTTAATTCCCATCGATTAATCATTAATGTGCTAAGGAATTGCTAAAAAGAAGAATAGGAACGAACGTTTTAATTTCAACTTTATTCCCTCATGATGGCTTATATTTTCCATGTCTTTCTAACAACAACTGGTATATTAGGAAAGGCAAATGTTAGGTTGGTAACATAAAATTATCCAAGAATAGACATTAGGAACAGGATTCCACAGCCACAGAAGCTGGGGAAGGGAGGCTAGGAGCAGATAAGTCTCTGCAGCAGGCCTCTCATCTCTCAGAAACTTTAATCCCAAGAAGGTGACTTTGACTCAAGTTTGGAGTTAGCTTAAGAGAAATTGAAATAATGGTTAAAAACTGGCCTAAAATTAACTTAATTGAAAGATTTTATTTGGTTATGGAAAGAGTTGGCTCACATGGGGGAAAGCCATGTAATCAACAGGTACCATTTGCTCAGTTTTCTGTGAAATAGGTAAGTTTTCTTGGGTGGCATGCTCACCCTCCTCCTTGCATGGAGTAAAAGGCCCTAAGATGCATTGTAATCATCGCTCTGCTAGCAGTGGTTTGCACTAGCAACTCCATATGACTCAATTGTACCCTTCCTAAAAATGGGTTCAATGACGTCTACGCTCGATTTTTTTGTGCACTTCCTGTCTTTCCACGCAGATCCCTCCATTTACTCAATAAAATTCTTTCTGGGGTTGATAGCAATCTCCTTGCGATAGGCACTTGCCCTCCCGGGGTGAACCCCCAGCAGACCAGGGGCCTAGAGAGGGCGCTGTTTCGGAGGAAATCAGCGGTTTAATTTTTCCCGGCATTTGCGGGTTGCGCAATCCGCTCAGGGTGACACCCACTGCCACCTCAGCTTGGCAGGACCAGGGGCGCAGGCCCAGCACCGCCAGGATTCGAACATTCCGCCGCCCGCCTGGGCAGAGCCCGCCCCACGTCGGCGAGCGCGAGCAGCGCCGCGGCCCGGAGTGGGCGGGGCCGGCCAGCGCCCCCCTCCCCCGTTTGGCTGGGCGTTCCGGCCCCGCCCCGCCCCCGCGCCGGGCCGAGCGCCGCGCCGCCCCGCCCCCCTCCGGCCCCGCCCCCGGGAGCCCACAGCTCCTCCCCTCTCCCATTGGCCGAGGCGGAGACCCTCCTCTCCGCCCAATGGCCGCCGCGGTGGCTCGGCCACTTGCACTCTGACTGGCCAGCGACCGGCAGAGTGGCGGGGCGCAGGCCAATGGGGAGAGGCGGCTCGATGAATGGCTGGCCCGGGTGGGGAAGGCAGGAGGCGGTGATCCCAGCGGAGGGGGCCGTTCGCCAGCTCCGAGGCAGAAAGTGCCACGACTCCACACGCGCGCACGCAGCGAGCGAGCGGCCGGAGCGGACGGTGGACGGGGCGGGTGGCGTCGAGGTCGCGGCGCCTGCAGCTGCTCGGGGGCGGCTTCTCCGCGGAGGCTCGGCCAGCTCCTCTCTCCCGGCTCCGTTGCGGCGGCGGCGGGCGGCGGTGTCGGCGGCGGCTCCTGCCCTTCCCTTCTCCCTCCCGCGTCTCCCGCTGCAGGTAAGAAACTTGGCCGGGCCCTGCAGCCGTGGCGGCGTCGGCGCGCGGGCCGGGCCGTCGGGGCGCCTGGGCCGGGGCCGGCCGCGCCGCGAGTGACACGTCTCCTTGGCCGCCCCTCCCCCGGCCGCGCCGCCCGCTGTCGCTGCAGCCGCTACCCGCGGGGTCGGGCCGGGCCCGAGGGGCGTGTGCCCGGCCGAGCCCCGCGCAGGGCCGTCGGCGGGCGCGACCCGCGGTGGGAGCCCCACGCCCCTCGCCGTCCGGGGACCTGCGGCGGCCCCGCGGCGCGACGTGGCGATCCCGCCCGCCCTCCCAGGCGGGCCGTCGGGCCGGCCCGCGCGCTCCGAAGTTGGGTGAAGAAAGTTGGCGGCGGGCGGGGCGGCGCACAGCTGGCGGAGGAAGGGGTTAAGTTTCGGGAAGCGGCCGGATGACGTTGCCCGGCTGGAGTCCGGGCTGGCGGGGGTGGGGGTGCGGGCGGAAGGCGGTGGAGGCCGGCGGGGGGGGCGGCGGGATTGAATGGGGGGCCCGCGAGTGGGGCGCTGGTCCGCGGGCTGCGGCCTGGAGGCGCGTCGCGGGTCGGGCGGCCCCCGACGGCGTGGGCCTGAGGCTCGGGGCTGCCCCGGGACTCGGAGCAGGGACGGGGGCCGTCCGGGGTCCGGCCGCGGTAGCAACTTCCCGGAGTGCGGGACGCGGCTCCCTGCTCCCCCTGGCGGCGGGGCTGGGGGCGCCGTTTCCTCGGCCCGGCCGCGCGGAGCCCGGCGCGAGGGCGCCCTGCTGAGGGACGGGGGCACCCCGAACCCGGCCCGGCCCGGCCCGCTCCGCCCCGCCCGCGCCACGATGAATGGACCCGCGGTGCCAGGCCCGGGCGGAAGCGGGCACCTCCGGCCTGGCCCGACAAGCACACTGGCAGCCGGCCTGCCGGCCTCTGTCCGTCGGTACCCCAGCCGCACCCTGGGTCAGGGGAGGGCGGGCGGGGGTCTGCACCTCCTGGAGAGGCAACCCCTTCAGGGACCCCTTGCCAGATTATAGACGGTACATTTTATTTTGCTCGGTGTGATATGATAGTTGAGGGAGTGGGCTTCTGAAATCACAGCACCATTGAGGGTAACCTCGGCCAGGCCCTTCCCCTGCGGGTGTCAGCTTCCCCATCTGAAAAACGGGGCTGCCAATCATTTATGATTAAAGAGGAAAAAAAGCTGTAGAGACCCAGCACTTGCAGGGAGTCGTCAACAAGTGTTGGCTGTTACTGTTGGGATGAGTTTTTAGGAGCCTGCGTGGCACAGGAGGGAGGTGGGGTCTGGCGTCAGCCTCCTGCTACAGACGTAAGACAGGGCACGCACAAGTCCCAGGTTGGGATTCCATCCCCTTAGCACGCTTACAGACCCTGTGTGCAGATCCTTTCCTTATCTGTAGCCTGGAGATAGAACCACCCACTCACTGTAGGGTCGGCAGCCTCCAGGCAAATGCTGGGAAGAACCGGGACCTTGTGCAAACACAGGGCAGTTTGGCAATAACTCCTGGAGGTCGAAGGTCAGCTGAGACTAGGATGCACCCAAGAAATGAAACTTATTTTGAAGGCTCTTGGGAGCCTCCCTTGTCACTGTTCACGAAGTGTGCTGGAATCTTCAGGTTAGAGGGCTTTCTATGGCTTTTTCTGAAATTTGGGGGATTGGGCCCAGTAGGGCCTTGCATCCTGGGCTAGAGATCTCTTCAGAACTCTCCCTGCTAAGTGTCCCCTCAGTGCTAAGTCTTCTGTCCTGCTCTCTTGGGAGGAACAGCTGCATGTTTTTACACCAGCCTTGTGCAGTTGGGAGCATACATTCTTTTCCATCCCTGCCTCCTGCCTTACACTTTCTGTCTGCTCAGTTGTTTTAACTTCCTGCTCTTTGGACACCAGAGAAGTCTTGGTGATTCTACAGCATGCTACTTACTGTGGTGAAGTCTCAATTCCTTTATGAACTTTCCAAAGGTCATCTCCACTGTGGCCTGCCAACCTGTTTGTCTTGCAGGAAGAAGCTTCCTGTTCTGAGGTCCTGTTGATGCCACTTCCCTCTTTAAGTAAAAGATAAGAGGTGGGAGCAAACTTCCTAGTAGGTTAGGTTTTCCCTTTTCTTGGGGCATTGCAAACCTCTTGCAGGACTTCTGGGTCTTTTTGAGGATGGGAAGTAGTTTAAGATTAGGGAGGGGAACAGGAAGGGTAGTCTTGCAATTTGGTGATGGGTTTTAAATAAATCTGGAATCACTGAGTCACATTTGAGCAGTTATGCTCTTTGCTGAAATGAACCCTAAGTCAACAGGCTGCAATCATTATACAGCATCAAATTCTATTCAAGTGGTTGGATGCAAATGATTTAATTGTAATATTGGTTTGGTGTGTAGCAGGGACACCTTTCAAAAGTGGTGAGACCCCACGTTCTTACTTGATCTTTTATCCTGGGACTTTAACAGAGAATGACACAAACACAGAACTCTTTTGATACACCAGGTTTTTCATTGCTGATATCTTGTTTCGGAAGAAAAATAAGTTAGTCAGAGTTATGAAGGCAGAGACTGTGTTATCCATTCCTGTATCCTGGGCCTGGAATGTTTAAGGCCAGTTCCACGACAGAGTAGATGTTAACCAAATGAAGTACACTGCCATACCTGCTAACATTCTCATTAGTTATCCAGTTATCTTGCAGGACAAATGAAACTGAATCCAATTTGCTTTTTAAGGTTTACTGTTTAGAATCAGATTCCACAATTTAATGTTTATGTAGACATTGCAACAGTCCCAGTTTCTAGAGTCCGTGTGGTCATCCCATTCTGTGGGTGAGAACACGGAGGACAGTCGGTCAGGCTGTCAGGCCGGTTCCCATTTCCCAGCTGCTGGTCTTTTGAGTGTTTACCTACAGTGCTATATAATTCCACGCTCGTTAGGTATCAGTGGAAGGAAGGTGGGGAGTTAGTTGAAAATGTGGCAGTGTGAGAAGGTACTTTTCATTACTTTATCACATGTCTCCTGTGTCCTGTGCTTTCAGACACTGTCGATACAAACATGAAACTTAGATCTGTGTTGTCCAACATATAACCATATAGAGCAATTAAAATTAAGTAAAACTTAAAATTCAGTTTCTCAATCATAACCACATTTCGAGTGCTCAGTAGCCAGATGTTGGTCAGTGCAGATCTAGGTCATTTGCATTATCACAGAAAATTCTCTTGGACTAAACTGGTCTTGTGTTGCTAGAATTCTCTAAACATTCAGGTCTGTGTCTCTTGATTGTTTGGAAATATTTTGTGAGTCACATGAAATTAATTGCCCATTCTATAGGTCAAAAACATCTAAACTAGTGGCAGATCATGGGTTCATTCAAGCTAGTAAAATTTCACCTTTGGAAGGCATTTTTTCCTGACTGTACACATTATAAATTGCATATCAAGATAAGGTGGGGTTGTAGAGTAGGCAGCACAGATTGTGATCACTCTTGGAGAGATTTTTACCTAATCCTGACCACCAAAAGGGGTTGAATGTATCAAACACAGAAAATAGGTATTGGCAGAAAGCATATGGCTTGTAGGGAAAGTAAATATTTAATTCTAAGTGAGAGAAGCTGAGCAAGGAAGGCCACGTAGCGTTATAGAAAATTAACTCAGGACTTGCTCACAGGCTGTTTTCTTAGGCAGGCAAATTGTGATGAGTCTCCTAAAACAGACGGCCGGATATTCCTCTGTCTAAAAACCAGACACCTTGTATTTCATTTAAGTGCCATGAGTAACATGTATCTCCTGCCTGCCTAGCAATGGGAAGCAACTTTAATTTATAAAGAAAGTTTCGTAGTTTCTAAACTTGATTATTTTTGGCAAGACTGGAACAGCTGCTGGCCCCCAACCTTACATTCAAATATATGGGTGTTTTCATATGGACGGACATAACTTGTTACCTGGGTCGGTGACCGTTTTCAGAACTGTGTCATCTCATGGCTTTGAAAGGATCTTTGAAAGGATCATTGGGTAGTATTGGAGAAGAATTTTTGCATTCTTGGCTGTGCTATTCGGCTGATCTTGTTACAGGACAGGGAGAGGGGCACCCCAAAACTCCCAAACCTGCCCGCTCTAAATAGGTTCTGCCATCTACCACATCAAGACAAAACATGTAAGACCTTTAATGGAGAGTAACTTTAATACAATTAGTGTGCAATACAGAAAAAGACAAAGTATATAGCTTCCAAATCAAGCACCCAAAGTTACCCATCCCCTCGTGGGTAAAAGTCCACCCAAACAGGATTGGTCCAAAGCAAGGCCAGAAAGCCTGCTGCAAGTCCAAAGCACTGTGTGGCGGGGACCCAAAGAAAAGAGTCAGAAACAGTCAGACAAGTCTAGGAAGAAAAGAGCAAAATCAAAATCAGGATAAAGCTGCCATTGTTACCTCCCCACGGATCTCTCATGCACATCTGTTTCAACCAGTCCAGGACCAAGAAGCAAGCTCAGTTTCTTCACATGCCTCTTCCTTCCAGGTCTCCTTCTTGCCCTCACATCCAGCTTCCTCCCTTCTCCAGTCGCTACTGAGTTTCTTCTCTTCCCTGCTCAGCTCCACCGTCCCTTGGGTGGGGTAGGGAACCTGGAACCTCCCCTTTTCCTGGGGACCATCCTGTTACAATCTTAGTACAGTTCTGTAAAATAATGTAAGACCAAAGTTAACAAAGAACCTTGACTGATTATCAGTTGCTTACTCGCCTTTTGGTTAGAGAGGAGATCCTCTAAGGAAGTTATCAACTAATTAAAGTGATAATAAATACCTATTGGCCCAAAAGTTGGAATAAAAGACTGTCTTCAACCAAACCTTTAATTTCATATTCTAACCCTGGTTGAGGTGTGAGCAAACAGTATGTTTTCAGGCTGCTGTCCTGCATGGATTGAACTTGACCTGCGTATGAGATTTGTTTGGCTAGCCCCATGGTACTAAACAAGTCAGCTGCTTTTTAAAAACAATTTTTTTTTCATTAATGTCTAGATTGGGGAGT